TATAACTACTTAAAATATAAATATAATAGTTGATAAATAATTTTATTTTTCTAATTAATATTAAAAATAATTTTATATTGTTATAAAGATAAATATAAATTATTATTTTTATATATACAATATGGATGTTAAATCGAAGCTCATCAAAAGAATATTAATTTGATATATTACATATGTAAAACTGATAAAAAATACAAAAATTATTAACATCCCCCCTATATATTAATACATCCCCCTATATATTAATACAGAACGCGCTGAGCCTACGTGGCTGCTTCTGGTGCTTCGGAATCCTATGTGGCAAAATTACATGCTTCGTTATTAGGCTTGAGTAAATTTTATTTTAATTCCAAACCAAAAATAATTAGGTTCGGATTACCATAAATATGTTGATTATTTATGGTCATGTTACATGTATTAATTGTATTTTAATATCATTCATTATTATAACTATTGAATTGTATATATATATTTTAAAAGTTAATAACTTTTGTATTTTTTTATCAGTTTTACATATGTAATATATCAAATTAATCTTCTTTTGACGAGCTTCGATTTAACATCCATATTGTATGTATAAATAAAAAATTTATATTTATCTTTATAATTAATTAGAAAAATAAAATTATTTATCAACTAATATATTTATATTTCAAGTAGTTATATGATATAAGTTATAAAAATTAATATAAAATAACACATGTAAGTTATAAGTAACACATATCATTCTAAAATATATAATAATATATTTTTTTTTTTTGTAAAAAAGTAAACTAAATTTAATATAGTTTTCTCATTAATTTTAAAATTTAAGAATAATTTTTTAACAAACACCCGTGTAATACACGGGTGTTGTACTAGTTTAAAATATATATACAATTCAATAGTTATTATAAAGAATGATATTAAAATGCAATTAATACATTTAACATGACCATAAATAATCAACATATTTATGGTAATCCGAACCTAATTATTTTTGGTTTGGAATTAAATTAAAATTTACTCAAGCCTAATAACGAAGCATGCAATTTTGGCAGATAAGATTTTTTTGAAGCACCAGAAGTAGTCATGTAGGTTCAGCGCGTTCTGGATTAATATATAGGGGGATTGCCTATATGTCTATATCTTCTTTTTCTTTGATAGCTTGCAAGAATTTATGCGTTTTTTTTTTCTTTTTTTTTTTTGGGGGAATTTTTTTATAACCATAAGAGCTGTTATAGTAGATTTTAAGGGTTTTTTTTTAAAAAAAAAAAATATTGCGCCTTGATCGACGGCGGAGGTCGATGGTGGAGGCGACTGCCTTCACAAGCTTTTACTCCTGTTTTGTCGACCGAGAGATGCAATAACTAAAGACGACAATAGCATTCTTAATAAAAAGGGAAAAAAAGTGAACAATCTATGGATACATTGGTAATTTTATTTCTATAGTCCAGCCGGAGAAAGCTATCAACTTAATTTTGGTCGGTGATAGTGCAAATGACCTTGACCGGGTTGAACGTCCTTCGATCCACTCTCGATCGGTTCAAAGACAAGCAAAACAATGCGGAGTTGTCCCGGCATAAAAGCTCATTAAACAGTGATGGAGAAGAGTATGAACTGCATATAATTGTATGATATATGAGTGTGCAGAGTGTAAATTGTCAAACCCTACCTCTTGATATAGGAGCTAGTGATATCTTGTTGTTCAAGACTGCCCGACTATGTTGCCCAAGTGCCCAAGTTACCCATTCGTACTGCCCGGTGCTCAAACTACCATATTCTGTTAGCGCACGTGGTCCTTTTCACGTGTGCTTATCATAATTATTTTCTTTCTTATATATTATTTGGTGTGTTCATATTAGTCTACCTCATGGTCTAAATGTGCTGGTTTAAATGTGCTACAGGTTTGGATTCCCTTGAATCATGTTGCTCCGGCCTTTAGTGGATGAGCCTAACTCGCAGGTCGTACATCGATCTGTAGGCCTCTATGTTGTGTTCCATCAGATTAGCCGAGAGCCTTAGCTCGAACTGTTGGCAAGTTGTCTTATATAGTAGGTCGCCATCGACATGGTAATTCCACGATACCGAAGTTCCTTGATATGTGACTGATACCGGTATTAATTCTCGATCTGATTGGATCGCCCTTTGGATCATACTCGACTTAATATGATATAACATATCGGTCAGGACTAGTTATCATCAACTGATAGGACTCTATCTTGTTTAATCCAGAACCAATAACAACCCCGTGGGATATGATAAATGCATATATCCTATCATATCCAGGTTGTCGAGTTTTTATCTGAGCTGAATATTTTATTTCTGA